ATACTTAACCACTATATGGATTAATAATGAATAATGGGATGATTGGTGACATTATGGTCAATTGAAAATATGAATGTATATTATAAATTAATGGGAATTCTTTGTTCTAATCTTCGCTTTTTCTCCTTAGAGATAGGTGATACTATAATACTTTAAAGACTCATTGTTATTTGATAGATAATTATGAATTTAAGGAAATAAGGATTGTTACAAATAAAATAATATTAATGGTAATTTGAACACATAATGCACAATGATAGCAAAATATCCGTTATGTTTAATGTAAACCAGTGATGTTAATCCTAAACTTAAGAACTGATGCACAAAAACTTGTAATCAAACGACATGCTTGATGAAATGGAGGAAAGTTGTTGTTTAAAAAAAAAATCAAGTTTCTTTTGGATATGCATGTGATATTGACACATGTTTAAAAGGAGGCCAGCTACTCTGGGATTTTTGAAGGAAAAATGTAAAAAAATAGAAAATAATTATTAACATTAATTTATAGTTGGCAGTGGAAGAACAGAGCTATGTAGAGATATATATTACTACATAGTCTAGGGGTGTCAAACTCAAGGTTTGGGGGCTGGATCCGGTCTGCTGGTGCTTAGATCTGGCTCGTGGGGTCACCCTGGAAACAGCAAAGGACCAGCCCATGGTGATTCTGCCAACAAAAATGGAATTTTCGCTGGTAGACGGTTGCAGGAGCTCATCACAGCCGAAAAAAGAGCTCAGGAGCCCATTTCCACTGGCAGAGCGCTCGGGCCACTACAGGCGCCACTGACACAAGTTGGTCACTCATCCTAGCGACGCCCCCAAGGTCAAACACAATCCTGATGCTGCCCTCAATGAAATCAGATTTGACACTCCTGACACAGGCAAAGGATAAGAAAAGAGGAAACAGAAAAATAGAAGATTGCCAACTGACGGAACTCCCAAATCATGGTATCCCAATACCTAGTCTGCTCTCTGGACCAGAGGTGGGTTGCTAATTTTTTTACTACTGGTTTGAGCGCACTCCTGCGTGTGACGCTTCTACGCATGCACAGACGTGTTCAGATGAAGCCTCCCGCCGCCACTACTACCGGTTTGGGTGATCCGGCCCGAACCGGCAGCAGCCCACTCTGGCCAAGACCATATAGAGCATAAATGAAAATCAAACTTGATTGCAAGGGTGGAGCCTGACTCCAGTATGCACTTCCCACCATATTCTTGCTTTCAAACTCACCCACACTCTTCATGGAACTGCCAATCTTAGTGCTCACACGCAGAAACTTGCTGAGGTCCCAGCGTGGAATCTTGACTACACAATAATCAAGGCTGGGTTCAAAGCAGGCTGTGGTGGAATTAGTGACCGAGTTCCTGGGTTGAAGTGAAGGGAAAGAGAAGGCTAAGATGGAGAGCCATGTATCTCTTATTTAATCTATGACCAGCATAGTTGCCATCCCTTTAGAAAGACTGTATAAGAGATGGCAAGAATCCAAGGTGGCAGCAGTTGCTAAGACACAATTTATCAGTCACATGTTTTAAGCAAAATTAAAAGTACTTAGGGGATTGGCTCCATAAAAGCCAAAACAATATTTAAGCAAATAATCTGTTGACACAGTGGGGGCAATGAGCAAGCAGACCCCTCCCCAGCTAGTTCTAGCAAAGCAATGCACCCTGCACCTCAGAGCATGCAGGCATTACCTGAGGATAGGCAACGGGATTCCCAAAGCCAGCTTAGCAGCAACATAGGCCAAGGGGTAGCCAGTAGCCTTGCTTGCCAGAGCTGAACTCCGCGAGAGCCGAGCATTCACCTCTATGATGTAGTACTGTGGGACAGGAAAGAGACAGATACAGCCCAGCCAATATTTCCACTATCTTTCAGGATAGCAAGCAGAATGAGAAACTTTCCATATTTCCTGGGAATGAATGATGACTCAAGACAGAGCATGTGGTTAACATGCAGAAGGTCCCAGGTTGAGTTGAGCTAGGAAAGATTGCCTTGAAACTCTGGCAAGCCGATCCTAGTCTGTGCTGACAATACTGAATTAGGTGGGCCTGATCTGATTCAGCAGAAAGCTGCTGTTAAGCAACTGCAAGTAAGTTCACAGTGTCAGCATACACTGCTCAACAAGGACGATCAGGCATAGGTTCCCATACATTTGTGATCTCAACCCAAGAGCATCTCACCTGCTCAGACTCAGGATTCAGGGCATACTGAACATTACATTCTCCAATGATCCCCAGGTGACGAACCACTTTAATGGCTGTAGTGCGCAGGAGACTGTATTCCCTGTCGTTGAGCGTCTGGCTGGGGGCCACCACTATAGATTCACCAGTGTGGATGCCCAACGGATCCAGATTCTCCATATTGCATACCTGTTCAGGATTGGGAACCAAGACGATCAGCTAGGTGAGAAGGCGGCCATCATCACTGCTGCGATACAACCTGCAAATCCATGCCTCCAAGTTCTTAGATCCCAAGTTGGGTGTCCTGCCTCACTAACTATGGTTAAAGGATCCTTTGTCATGATCATGGTTTTTTGGTCTTATAATTTTGCCTTTCACTGAGACAGTTTATATTTGTTTTTAACTATTCCAGTTAGAGGGTTTTTTTTCTCTCTCTCTCTGCTCCAAATCAGTTCCTTGCATAGATACGATTTGCAATGTGCTTGTTGGCAAAGTTAAGAGGTTGAGACGTGTCTAGCTACCTTGGACACCCAGCAGCAAATAGCAATCTGCAATCAAAAATGTGTCTGCTTAATTTTAATGTAAGAAAGTTTTGCTCATTCTTTTTCTGGCACCCAAAACAAGCCTAAATGTGCCCTTCTGGTGATGAACCTCCCTCTACTTCTTTAACCCAATTGGCTTACCGTGACACAGTTGTCATAGGCATCACGCACCACCTCATACTCAATCTCCTTCCAACCCTTGAGTGACTTGTCCACCAGCACCTGCGAGGTGTGGGAAAAGGCCTGGCTCACCAGTGCCATCAACTCTTCCCGTCCATTGGCAAATCCAGAGCCCAGCCCGCCCAATGCATAGGCTGAGCGTACAAGCACTGGGTAGCCAAGTCGTTCTGCAGCAACATGTGCCTGTTGGGAGAAAGCATTTAGGAAATCCATCATCCCTACTAGTGGCTTTCAGAAGACATCTCATGCCTTTGGCCAGCAATCCTGGCAGATCCAAGTGGCCTATATGGGTGTTGTGGCCCGCCAGCGGCCAGCAAAGCTGGCAGCCGATTCATACAGTGAGGAGGTTGAGGAGGAACATGGGCCAGTCCTGGAGTCTGGGGAAGGCTTTGATGAGGGCTCTGTGTCGGAGGCAGAGAGGGGGCCAAAGCCATATGCCAGTTATCAGCTGCCTACAGAGTCAGACATCAGTGAGGCAGACCAACAGCTGGAGCCTGTTCCCGGCGTGCGCATGCGCAGAATTGCCAGACGAAGGGAACAGCCTATGAACAGGGGTCGGCTTGGGAGTAAGGCCACAGGTGGACCATGAATGGCCCCTCCCAGAGGAAATAAAAGAGGAGCCAAAGGGGAGTGGAGTTTGCAGGAGACCATTAGGTCGCTTAATTGGTTCCTGACTCTCCGAGACACCTTGCCAAATTTTGCAGATATTGGCCTGGCAGCTCTCCAAGCCAGATAAGGTCTGGGACTTTAAATTCTCCCTTGAAAGACTTTGCTGGATGTGAATGAGAAGAATTCACAGTAAATTAATAAAAGGGTTTTTTGTCAGGACCAGACCAGGAGTTTGTTTCATGCCATTGGGAAGCCTCGGTCAGAACAGTGGGTTTCACATCAGAAAGCCCGATTTCTATCTCTGTCAGTCAGAGAAAGTTCCTAACCATGTTTCACTGATAAATGAACCACTAATTCTACCCTGCAAATCCAGTCCTCTTCCCATATACTCTTGCATGGATTCTTCCATTGTTGGAAAAGAAACACCATCTTTAAGAGGATGTTTTACTCAAGAACTGGGGCCACTGAAACCTGAAGAAGAATTCCTTGGGCTCGGTCTTGGGCTCCCCCTAAAATAGGTATGGCTAAAATTAAGCAGAATGACATACTTGTTCAATGGAGCAGGCAGCCTCACTAGGTGCTACATGTTCCCCTATCTCCTCCATCTTCTCCACGAAGACTTTGCGGTCCTCTGTCATCTCAATTGAGGCCACGGGAGTTCCCAGCACACGCACGTTGTAGCGTTCCAGCACCCCAGCCTTAGTCAGCTCCACACCACAGTTGAGTGCTGTCTGTCCTCCAAACGTCAGCAAGATCCCATCTGGGCGCTCGTTCTTTATCACCTGACCATAGAGAGGAAAGCGGAAGGCTGAGAATGTCCCCCTCACTCAGTTCCAATCCTATCCCAACCCTGAATTCGGAAAGGAAATTAGAGAGGTTCCCCAACCCCCTTAACCGTCCAGGTAGTCCTTGACTTACAACCACAACTGAGCTCAAACTTTCCACCGCTAAACAAGGCAGCTAAGTGAATTTTGTCCCGTTTTATGACACTTTTGCCATGGTTGTTAAGGTAATCATGTGGTCATTAAGAAAAATCTGGCTGAATTAGAGGTGATGACGGTGGAAGGGATGCACGAAAACCTACACACGTTCTACAATTTTGTAATGGAGGATGATTTTATTTGTTTTTATTTAAAAAATAAAAAAAATGGGGGAAAAAAAAGAAAAAAAGAAAAATCTGGCTGCCCCCACTGACTTTGCTTGTTGGAAGCAACTGGGTGTCAGGTCTGCAGTTATATTCCTTTTGGGATTTTTGGCCTCCCACATTCTCTATTATTTCATTATGCTGTTTCATTAGTGTAGTAATTGGGAGGGGGAATAGAAAGGAGTAGAATTG